CTGCGTCCACACGAAACCACAAAACGATGTAGTATACATGCCAGACCAGTATGTGGCGCTGTAATTCTGCCACAGAGACACACTAAAAACGGAACAGAAGACTTGAACTATGCGCATAAACCTTGCGCGCGGTATACAAACGAACATGGAACAATACACTAAATCTTGGAGGTTTTTTCAACCAGAAGCTGTGCAATGTTGTGGGATCTTTGAAAACTCGTTGATTTTTACTGTGATTGACGACATTGACCGTTCCGAGATGATGGACGCGCCGGCGTGTTTAGAGCCATTGAATGTGGCATCTATATATACACATCTAGCAACAGCATAACAATGTGCTGGAAGTCACTTCAACACGTTTTTGTACGGTCAAGCAGCACTCAGATTTACTTCATGTTTTAATGCAGTTTCACTGAATCTCTGGGTTATCAATCTCATTTGCCTCCAGAAGTGGAGCAGTTTTTCTTAATGATGAATTTAGAGATTAGGAATTCAGTCTGAATCAAGGTTATTTGGCAGCGTGTCAGTTTATGTTATAACATTTGATTTATTCAAACATCTGCCCCATGATCCAGATACTGTGGATCCGGCAGAGTAAATAAGTGACCATAAATGCTATTAAACCGTCCAAACGCTGAGGTTTTATACGTGTGCTTCTACATGAGGGGAAAACCACAGGACAGCACTGAAGCAGCATCTCAAAGCCTCGAGCAAGAGTCCTATTAAAGAAGAATTCGGTTATGCACCGCATTAACCCATTACTCATGAAATAGCCCGGTGCTGTAAGAAGGCAGGAAAGCCGTTTGCACATATTGGATCAGGGGTTTATCATTTGCACCTTTTCTCATATCAGATAGCCACAGTCTGTCAGCAGAAGCCTCTGAATTGTGCTGACTGCACCGCTCTGGTGAAATATCTCACACTGATGTTGGCTGTCGGTACCTTGAGCTGATTGAAAGCACAGGAAGATACCGCAGCTGAGCGTTAGGGAGGGAAGAGATCTGAAGCTTGAGCGCAACAGACGGCTTCCGGAGGTTAAATCCCATTCATTATCTCTACAGAGAAGCCGATTTTTAACAGTAACATATAAACCTTCCATGTCGCAAGATGAAGCTACTGTTGATTTCAACTTCATTTTTAAGAATTCCTTGTGTAGGGCCTCATGAAATCCGTTAGAATCTTTCCAAATTCCATTTTTTAACATTTACATTTTTCTAGACTCTGTTTTAATGGTTAAATTAAATTGTATTAATCAAAAAGCATGTCTAATTAATTGAAATCATAAAACGTACAATATTAAACAGCAATTCATTAAAAGTTTAACAAAAGTTAAATTTTTAAAGGCCTATGAAATGTTTTTTATTTCTCAAATTCAGTTACATTTTTTTTACTAAATTCTGATTTGCATTCATTTTCTGAATTTCATTTGAATGATTTCATTAAATATTAATAATCAGAAGCACCTCTAATTAATTGATTTCATTAAAAAAATATTTTATTTATTTCTCTTTTTTTCCAGAAAAACTGTGTTGTGTATTTACATTTTTCTGCTAAATAAATTCTGGTAAATATTTTTTTTTCTGGTGAATATTCCTTTAAAAATAATGTTTTAGTAATCATTTTATTATTAGTAGTAGTAGTATCATTACATGAAGTAATAATTCTGTCAGGGTCACTTCAAGTTAAACCGATGGGTTGCTGTGAAGACGTTTAGGTTGTATATGATTGATGATAACGATAGATTTACTCAAAAGAAACCGTAAAATGCTCATAAAGTGACTCTCAGAGCAGTTCTAGAGATTATATTTATGTGTACATGTACTCATAAATGAAAGTGGCACTTCAGTATGTGTATAGTAAACGAAATCTGCATCTGCGCCATTTATAGACACGCAGAACATACAGGATTCATATTTAATTTTTGCATCTTAATATTCACAGACACTTGTCCAGATCACGTTTTGATTCAAGTGTACTGACCTACTTTTGTTGTATCCATCCAAAATTTGGCAAATTTTGTGACATTCCGGGTTATACAGTAAATTACATTTTTATGTCTGGATTCCGCGATTCTGTCCGCATTTTCTACATTGTGGAAATCATTGGGCCCTAATAACTACATTACCCATAATGCTGAAGAGGCCTCGGCCAATCAGAGAAGTCGCTGTCGCTATGGAAACAGAAAGCAATTTAAAAGCACTCAGCAGCATTGCAAATGAAAAGAGTTTCCCTACACTCTCAACCCGCTTACATTTTTGTATATATCTGAATATTTTGCGCTAAACTTTAAATGTTTTGTTTTTATAGAAAAGATCATTGACCGTAAGTGAATATTGATATTTTACTATTGTTTTTGATTAATTTACATGATTTATGGGATGAGTAGTTCATTCAAATGCGGGGTTGAAATGTTTTAATCAATCCTCATTTTATAAACGGGTATCGATTCTTAAATCACAAGATCAATTTTCTGTTGTTTTCTATTGATGCAAACAAAACTTCACTAAACATTATTTGTATTGCACCTCCTATAATTGTATCCTATAATTAAAGCGTTTGCTTTACTTCTGATAAGAAACAAAGCCTCAGCTTTCAATTTCTTTTATTTAATTTAATGTCAAGTATGTTTGAATTAATCAAATTTAATTTAAATTTGAATTGAATTTTTTTTTTATATTTAAATATAATTTTATATTTCAACAACAAACTGGAGCAGAAATATAATTAACTTAAAAAATGGTAAAACATTTTTTAAACATTTATAGTAAATTTCACAATTACAAAAAAAGAATAGCAAGTAACTCATTGAATTAAACAAAATTTAAAAGAACATCAAAAAAAGTAGAAAGACTTTGGGAAGGATTTTCTTGTAAAACGCATTCTAATCTTTGTTTTATTTACAACTTTGAAAAAACATTTTTACAGTGTGTATTATTAGATAGTTGTTATAAAACTGCAAAAATGTTTTTATAAATTTTTTACACATTAAATGTTTGTACACCAAATATTTTTATTTGAGTGGTTATTATTATATTATTAACTATTAGTTAAATAGTTTGGGTTCTTATATTAATTTTAACTTTTAATATTACAGTAATGTATCAAGTGAGAGTGTTTCTTAGAGTTACAGCATTAGTTGAGTGTTTTCTTCCTTGAGAAAAATGTGAATATTAATTAAAAATGATTTGAAATACCTGCTGAGAAATTGAAAGGGAAAACTAGGGCGCTGAAAAAGTGAACAGTAACGGTTGTGCTGTTATGAAACAAACCAGCTGCATACTGGGCAGTGGGCAGAAATATTTATGGGATCAGGTAGAAGGGGAAAGAGGGGGATTTTCTATGTAGCAAAAGTAGGGAAAAAAAGCAATGTGACTCCAGAGTCCTCTGGTCAATTGGAGAGAAACCTGGCTGTATCTGGCACGTGAGAGAAGCCTGTGAGCAGTGCACCTTGGCAGAAGCTGACAGGCCGAGTTAGTGAGAAGAATAAAGTGAACAGAATCAATTCTCACTTGGGGGGGAAAAACTTAAGGTGCAAAAATATTAAGAAAAGAATGTATTATTTAAATACATTTTTTATTTTATATTTATTATATAATTAGCTATCGTTTATAAATTAAGAATTAATCTATTTCTGTTTCCTTATTAGTTTTTTGCATAAGTAATAATAATAATAATAATTATTAGTTTTTATTAGGGCTGTCAATCGATTAAAATTTTAAATCTAATTGATCACATCCTTTTTCTGTGATTAATCGCACACTTCATGAAATTAAGCATAGACCATTTATCTTGTTTCAAATGTTTATTTTGTCATCATTTGCTATATCCAGCAAAGTAAACCAAAAGATTGAAGGGTGATTCTCAAAAATCAGTATTTTCTGCAAGATTTTTTTCAAGATAAATTTAGATGTCTTTCCAAAAAAGGACACAAAAAACTCCAAAAGACACCAAATGATATAAGGAGCCCATATAAGCACATATGAAAGAAAAAAAAAATCTGAATTTTATAGTATGTGTACAGTGCAACAGCAAAGAGCTTTTTTACATTTTAGAGAAGCCAAGTTGCGATACCGAACGGGACCACATGGAGATGCCAAAAAAAAACTAAACTACCCGCCTCCTGACTGCATATATCTACTACAGTACACGGATCCATTCAGAATAACTAAACACAGCAACATAAACATGACCAATCAAAACATTATCGTGAATGTGTGTGGAAACAATGTGAATGTACGGAAATGTCTGTGCCTGTGCATAAATACAATGTGCGATCAGTGCGTCAAGTGCACTCATACACGCATTATTATAACGGACTCACACGTGCTTACTGTACGACTCCTGTACGGCACCGCAATCGTCTTTACCTTGATTGCAGTCTTCATCCATCAAAACTTTACTAGCGAGACTAGTTATCTAGTCGAGAAACCGTAGCTTGCGTCTCATCTGGCCATACAGCGGTGGGATGTGTTGACAATCCGTTCAGTCTGTACTTCACACAGCACATTGTGTGAGGGCTCGCGCTCTTCAGAGACAATCACAGAATATGACAGAGCTCGTGTTTAAAAGCGAAACACACTGGAATGAATAATTCACTTAAAACGCAACGCGAGTCTCTGTTCTCTCAGCAATCTCTGATGTAATCAGCCTGGTTTCCTTTATATTAGCGCTGTTTTGGACAGATTGTTTGAATGCATTCACTTACTGGATCATTGGACTGAAAACTTTCCCGGAGTTTAGTGGCTTAAAATTATCTAATCACAAGCAGAGAAGCAAAATTGGGTTAAAGGGGTAGAATAGAAGTTGTGCTTCAGTAATTTTGCGTTAAATTATTTTAATGCGTTAAGGATTGTAAAATTAATCGCATATGTTAACGCCTTAACGATGACAGCCCTAGTTTTTATTTATTTATTTATTTGCATTTCTGGAAGATGAAATTGTCTTTTTTCCCCCTGCTTCTACAGCTTAATTTGTTTCTGCTTTTTTTCTCCTCCTGATAGCTTTTCATGGTGGACAACGCTGCAGACGACTGGAGGATAGCCATGACCTACGAGCGCATCTTCTTCATCTGTCTGGAGATCTTGGTGTGCGCCATACACCCCATCCCGGGCAACTACACCTTCACGTGGACGGCGCGGCTCGCCTTTTCCTACGCACCGTCCAAGACAGACGCTGACGTGGATATCATCCTGTCCATTCCCATGTTTCTCCGTCTGTACCTCATTGCTCGCGTCATGCTGCTGCATAGCAAACTCTTCACCGATGCGTCGTCGCGCAGTATCGGTGCCCTCAACAAGATAAACTTCAACACACGCTTTGTCATGAAGACCCTCATGACTATCTGTCCCGGGACAGTGCTGCTGGTGTTCACCATTTCTCTGTGGATCATCGCCGCCTGGACTGTGAGGGCGTGCGAAAGGTGGCCCGCTTTGTTGCTCTGACAGTAGAAGTTTGTTTGATGGAGAGATTTTTAGGAGGTCTTTGAGACACACTTAAAATTGTATGAATTTCTACACTATTCATATATACCAACAATTACACAGTAGTAGTAATGTTATTTTGGTAATTCACAGTTACTTCATGTATATGTATATATATATATATATATATATATATATATATATATATATATATACATATACATGAAGTAACTGTGAATTACCAAAATAACATTACTACTACTGTGTAATTGTTGGTATATATGAATAGTGTAGAAATTCATACAATTTTAAGTGTGTCTCAAAGACCTCCTAAAAATCTCTCCATCAAACAAACTTCTACTGTCAGAGCAACAAAGCGGGCCACCTTTCGCACGCCCTCACAGTCCAGGCGGCGTGTGACCCTGGACCACAAAACCAGTCTTAAGTCGCTGGGGTATATTTGGAGCAGTAGACAAAAATACATTGTATGGGTCAAAATTACTGATTTTTCTTTTATGCCAAAAATCATTAGGATATCAAGTAAAGATCATGTTTCATGAAGATATTTGGTAAATTTCCTACTGTAAATATATAAAAACTTAATTTTTTATACATTTTTGGACAACTTTAAAGGCGATTTTCTCAATATTTAGATTTTTTTGCACCCTCAGATTCCAGATTTTCAAATAGTTGTATCTCAGCCAAATATTGTCCTAACAAATCATACATCAATGGAAAGCTTATTTATTGATGATGTATGATTTATAAATCTCAATTTTAAAAAATTGACCCTAATGACTGGTTTTATGGTCCAGGGTCACACACACATATATATATATGTATATATAAGTGTATATGTATATACATATATATAAGAGTTTATATTATATTATATTATATATTCTTTAATTATACACTTGTCATAAATTCATGGTAACTCACAGTTACTAGGTGAGTATTTTAGAAAATGTATATATACATTTTAGAATATATTATATTATATTTTATATATTTTTTACATTATACAGTTATCATGTAATCGTGTTTTGGTAACTTACAGTTACTAGGTGAGTTAGTTTTTTTTTTAAATGTAGAGATACATTTTAAAATATATTATGTTATAAATAATATTTTTATATATTTTAAGATTATTTTGATTATACAAATTTAAATTCATACATTTATTTTGTGGTAATTCACACTTTACTAGGTGATTTAATTTAGAAAATAAGATCGACACAATTCCTATTGTTGGGGGTGCGGCATCGTTACAGCATACAATTAGATATTGTATATATGTATTTTCAATTATATACAATTGTATAGAAGTAAAATATTCCCACTTTCTAGAAACTGAGCTCTAAGTATCAAAAATGCATCCTTTCGGAAAAAAAGACACTGTGCCTTTCTCTCAACCTGTTAAACCCTATAGAGTATCAAATCTCTCCCGTTGCAGACCTGGAGAGCCTCTGTGAGCTGCGTAACCTTTTAAACAGCAGTTAAATAGGTTTGGAAACTGAGTCAATTGTGTCCCAACTCAGCTAGATGCCTCAATTAGCCAATTAAGTATTAGCTTACAGCAACGACAGCATGTCCAACTGCTGCGGTGGAGTAAGCACTACTTAAATGTATAATGTGAGACAAATTAGCACAATTTTCAAGGCTGATTGATTAACTTGCAATTAAGTCAGTCATAGGTAGGCGTAAAGTAATTGTAGTTGTTTTTCTAATGCCATTTTACCCTTACCAGATACCATGACAACATGGACGTAACCAGCAATTTCCTTGGAGCCATGTGGTTGATCTCAATAACTTTTCTAACCATTGGATATGGGGATATGGTCCCTAATACATACTGTGGGAAAGGAGTCTGTCTCCTCACCGGCATTATGGTAAGTGCCGTATCTCAGCGTAATGTAGGGTTTGTTTTAGCCTGAAAGCTTAAGGAGGCTGTTTGTTTTGTCAGGGAGCCGGATGCACTGCTTTGGTGGTCGCTGTGGTCGCAAAAAAACTGGAATTAACCAAAGCCGAAAAACATGTACATAACTTTATGATGGACACCCAGCTGACAAAAAGGGTAAGTCTGAACTCCTAAACCTGAGCCTTGTGGCGTCGTATGTCACCGTTTATTCTTAATCCCTGCAAACCTGTGAAAATAATATCCAGCTTATGCAAAGTGGAAAATAAGTTGCATTTATTAAATATAAACAAAATGTTTGAATGTATTAAGGTGACACGCTGCTTACAAAACAATGTTTTGAAACCCAATTTTCAAAATACACAAAATTCAGCTTTTTGAGAGGAAGATTACTAATAATGATGGTAAAAACTGTTACGACGTTGTCAGAAATGTGAGAAATAGGCTGGAAATGTAAAAAAAATAGGCTTTCATTCTTCATGCATGGCTTACTTGGTTAGCCAGATAAGCTTTGTCACATAAACGAAGTATATTCTTTTACGATTAGCTGAATACGCTAAAACACCAAACTGGAAGTATATTTGCCATTCTTTTTTCCCATAGGGACTTTATAAAAGTCTCTATTAAAGATAAAGATGGTAAGCCATGAACCAAACCAACTAGCTATGAGGTGAACCACAACATTACAAACTGATTTGAAGCAAAAAAATGTACAAAGGTATGAAACTGTGTACGGTAACTGCTTTAGCGAGGGAAAGAACTACAATGAACTACAATCCCCTGAACCATTGCGAACAACATAATCAAATTCAAAATGTTAAATAATGATAAATAAAAGATGAATAAAAAACTATTAAAGGTGTTGATTTTATACACACTGCCATTCAAAAGTTTGGGACCAGTAAGATTTTTTGAAGAAGTTTCTTATGCTCATCAAGGCTGTATCTATTTGATCAGAAATACAGAAAAAAATGTAATATTGTGAAATATTGTTGCAATTTAAAATAACAGTTTTCTATATTAATATACTTTCAAATATAATTTATTTGTGCGATCAAAGCTGAATTTTCAGCATCATTACACCAGTCTTCATGATCCTTCAGTGTCACATGATCCTTCAGAAATCATTCTAATATGCTGATTTATAATAAATGTTGAAAACAGTTGTGCTTAATATTTTTTGTGGCCTGTGATATTTTTTCAGGATTCTTTGATAAATAAACAGTTAAAAAGAACAGTGTTCATTCAAAATAGTAATTTTGTGTTGCAATATACACTACTATTCAAAAGTTTTGTTTTTTTTAAAGAAACAAATACTTTTATTCAGCAAGTATGTGTTAAATGGATAAGTAATAGTAAAGACTTCGATTGTCAGAAGATTCTAATCTTTGTTAAAAGATTTCTATTTTGAATAAATGCTGTCCTTTTTAACTTTTTATTCATCAAAGAATCAAAGAAAAAAGTATCACAGGTTCCAAAAAAATATTAAGCGGCACAACAGTTTCAACACTGATAATAAATCAGCATATTAGAATGATTTCTGAAGGATCATCAGTAATGATGCTGAAAATTCAGCTTTGCATCACAGGAATAAATTACTTTTTAGAGTATAATAAAATAGGAAACCAATATTATAAATTGCAAATAAATTTCACACTTTTTCTGTATTTTTGATCAAATAAATACAGTCTTGATGAGCGTAAAAGACTCCATTAAAAAACATTCAAAATCTTACTAATCCCAAACTTTTGAATGGCACTGTGTAAGTTATATTTGTCACGATTCTCTGATTGGTGGATTTCTTTGCAGAATTAAGGGTAATGTAGTTTTTCACGTTGATGAACACTAGTATGAAAAAAAACCAAGTGTGGGCCGATGGCTTCAGCAGAAGCATTTACCATCGATCAACAACGTCGTAGCTCATTGTAGGTCTGTCTTTAAAGGTTTATAAGTTATTGTTAAAAATCAGTTGCTCAATGGAGAAAATAAATGGGATTTTTACTTCCTGAACCCAACTTTGAAGCTCTACAGTGTTACCAAAATATATATATTTTTTTCAAACAGTGTCCCATCTGCTATGTTTTGGTCAAGCTTTTATGGTCATTTTTTGACATTTTTGGAGCGCCCGTCTCTGAGCCCCTGTCCTATTTACTTAATCGCATTGAAAAGCACAGCTAAATCACATTTCGAGATAAGAAAACAACATATCTTGGACCTGATTGCTAGCAAGCCAACTATTCCAGTAGATATCCCAAGTTTACGCTGTCCTGAAACTTATTATGCTAACCAAGTAAGCCACGTTCAAACATCGGGGCCCAGGACGCCTCAGCAGGACTGAGCGCTGAATGCTACAATGCTAACTCTCCCACAGGTGAAAAACACAGCTGCTAATGTTCTCAGGGAGACGTGGCTCATTTATAAAAACACCAAGCTGGTGAGGAAGATGGACCACTCCAAAGTCAGGAAACATCAGCGCAAGTTCCTTCAAGCCATTCACCAGTAAGTCAGACCTCTGGAGACCCGGCAGGACTTCTCGTGCCTTTTATGTGTGTGTCTGTTTTTCAGTAAGACTTAAATGGTTTGAGCTCTGAATTGTTTGACACCTGTAGCCCAGAGTAGGAGTCGCTGATGACGGATTCATTTGTGTGGTAAATCCGTTTGTATCATATTTGTTTAGGTGATCTGAGATAATTAGTATCATTTGTTGTATTGATGCTCTGTTCTTCCATTATAGGGTTAATTCAGCCCTCAGTAAAGCACAAGTGAGGACACTTGCTTTTGATATATATGGGCCATCTAAAAGAGGACGTACGTGCCCTGTAAATGTCACTCTCTTCCAGTGACTGATTATTTGGGAAACCCAAAAGGCAAAATGGTTATAAACCCACCTCATTTCAGCTGAAACCCTGTGGGTTTGTAGTTTCTTCACTATGTTTTATTTTCAGCCACTCTCAGAGATACTAGCTCGAAATTGTGGCTATTTATTGTTGGGTTATGATATAAAGCACTTTACCATGAGTCTTTACCACAGACAAAACACTCTTTTCTCAGCAATACAATTACAGGGAACACTTCAAACCTTGTACTATGAGCCTCCACTAAATGGTTGAGATGCCCATTAATGGTAAGAAAAAAAAAGATAATTCTGAACTGACTTCTTTTTCCAACTAACAGATTTTATCTTCTACTAGCTATCTTTGTCTTTTAATGAGAATAAGTTGTGTGTTAAACTTCTAAATCATATAAAACTGTATTTTATGTTTGTAAAGCACATTAGTGTATCAGGTGCGCAATACTTCAGGATCTTATGTGACCCTGGACGACAAAACCAATCTTAAGTCGCTGGGGTATATTTGTAGCAATAGCCAAAAAAACATTGTGTGGGTCAAAATGATTTATTTTTCTTTTATGCCAAAAATCATTAGGATATTAAGTAAAAATCATGTTCCATGAAGATATTTTGTAAATCTCCTACTGTAAATATATCAAAACTTAATTTGATTAGTAATATGCATAGCTAAGAGCTTCTTCTACAATTTTCTCAGTATTTTGATTTTTTTTGCACCGTCAGATTACAGATTTTCAAATAGTTGTATCTCAGATATTGTCCTATCCTAACAAACCATACATCAATGAAAAGCTTATTTATTCAGCTTTCAGATTATGTATAAATCTCAATTTCAAATAAATGTACCCTTATGACTGGTTTTGTGGTCCAGGGTCACATATACATTACTATTTAAAAGCTTGGGGTTGGTAAGATTTTTTAAAATCATTTTTGTATTTATTTTGCCTCTTATGCTCATCAAGGCTGCGTTTATTTGATCAAAAATACAGTAAAAACTCTAATAATTATTATATTATATATATAATATTATTATTTCACAAAATATTATTCTAAATATTATTTCTATTAGAAGATATTGTAAAATGTAGTTTATTCCTGTGATCAAAGCTGAATTCTCAGCATCATTACTCCAGTCTTCAGTGTCACATGATCCTTCAGAAATAATTGATACATTTATTTTCCAGGATTCTTTTTTGAATGTTCAAAATAGCTACAATTATTTGAAATAGAAATCTTTTATAACATTGTTAATGTCTTTACTGACACTTTTGATCAATTTAATGCATATATTTAATACTTTTAGAAATATATATATATATATATATATATATAACTTTATCAGGTTATCATCTGTTATTGGAGATTGTTTGAAATACTCTTACTTTAAAGTTACTCTTTAAAACCCACTAATGATTTAATAACACTGTTGAATGTCATCTTTAAGAAATCTCAAAATGAATATCTAATTTTCATATTGTATATTATAATATTGTAATTCCTAAATTATACTTGTTTTTTAGTGTTTTGTTTTATTTACTTTATTTTTAATATCAGCCATGTATCAGTCTATCGACGGGTGCACATAAGTTTTTCAGTCTAGTTCTCATGAGAACACCTGGAAATTTGGTTTGGTGCTCATAGTTTGACCCATTAAATATAACTATAAAGATTAATAATAGTAATAATAAATAATATTATTGCTTTAAATTTTTTATAAAAATAATAAAATGTGATGATACTATTATATTTAAAAATAAGTGAGTATTAAATTAAAAAATATATATTTTATAGTATAAAAATGCTAATATTTACATTTTATTTTTTTTTATGAATTTTGCATCATTTTCAAACCTAATATCAACAAGCTTTTATTTTGGCGGATTGCTAGCATGTAAGCATATGCGCTGCCAGGTTTAGCGCTGCCGAGTGAAGCATGTTAGTGGTTTTGCATTTTGCTATGAAATAGCAGCGCATAGCCTAGACTTATACTTTCAGTTCGAATAGAAATCTTATACAGCATTACAGTTATATAAACTCAATATAAAAGTCAATATAAAACTGTGGTAGTGCACATTACCAGCTGTCAGCCATGTCTGTATAAATGAGCGGGCTGAATTTATTAACACAGCACTTTTTTTATTTTGGTCGGGCATGCACACCAGCACACCACTTATGTGCACCCCTGGTTACTGACAATAAAAATAATTATTACCTTAGCTGTATTAGACAGAATTTCAATGTCTCATCATCAATATCATATCATCACAATAATTGTAATTGTAAAAAAAGTAGTAGGAATGCCGTAAAGGGATAGTTCACCCAAAAATGACATTTCTGTCATCTTTTACCCACATTCTTCAAAATATCTTCTTTTGTGTTCAGCAGAAGAAATAAACTTATACAGGTCTGGAACAACTTGAGGTTGAGTAAATGATGACAGAATTTTCATTTTTGTGTGTCTATGCCTTTAATTATTGAGTTAAATACAAAACTGTTTTCAAAAGCATATCATAATTCAAAAAGCACTCTACCAAAAGGTTAAAATGATCTTCAACAAGACCTAAGGAAATACTGTAATTAAACTGAGCTGAATTCAGGTAGTGTGTATCTCTCAAAGCAACAGTATCAAAGCAGCAAAGCGGCTTTGAAGTCCATGGCTGACGCTGTAATTGTGGGCCGTGTAAGCTAATATTGAATAAGGAGCATCTCTAAAGCAACTGGAAACCATGACGGATGTGGAGAGCACATCCTATCGTCCTTTACTCCTGTTTCACTATTCATGAAGGTGTCGGGACGAGTTTTACCGCCTTTCTGTTGGACTCTCTCTTCCTTTCTCTATATCTCTCCTCATTTGAAGTTTATTCATCACTCTGTCCCACTTTTCATCTGCTCTATGACATTAGCGTTGTGTCCAGGTTTTATACTAGCTATAAAGCAAACATTAAATCATTTTTCAGCGATAAGATTTATTTGTCCTGTTAAGCTTTGGTCGTGATTGAGCTGGAGGAGATGCATTTCACGCATTTAGATGAGAGTATTGAATGCCTTCTGTATGTTTTGTCTCACGCTGCTCTTTTATAATTAGCTAAATCAACCATGCTCGTAAAGACAAATATTCATTATTGAAAGATGTACTTTCGGCATAATTAGCTAAATCGAAAAAATTATAAACATTGATATAATTTTGCACACGCAATTGCAAAAAACATTTATCTAATTTCCCCTCATTTTGTTCTGCATCTATGGTGGTGTTTGCTAAGGCAAACCACTAAGCAACCACCTTAATGTTGTAGTAACAATGCAGAACACCCTAGCAACATCATTCTAACTACCCAGAATTTCATAGCAATCACTTTACAATGTCTTACTAACTCCCTAGTAGATTGAACTTCGCAATGTCCTAACAACCTCTGTATCTCTAGCAACCACACAGAACAAACCCAGCAAACACCTAGAATGTCCTAGCAACCCCATAACAACTACAATTTAGACCATAACCACACAGAAAAAAGCACTAACAACCTAGCAACCACTCAGAACCACCTAGCAACTCCTAACGACAACTAGATGGACCCTAGCAACCACAGAATGACCCAGCAACCAACTAGAATATCCTAACCACCCCAGAATGCCCAGACAACCTCCATTTGCAAACACCTAAAATTTCCTATCAACCCCCAGACAGCCCCATAGCAACTACAGTTTAGACCATAACAACTACACAGAACAACCCACCAGCCACATAGAAACCACCCAGAACCACTAACAACCACCATGTACAACCTAGCAACCCCTATAACTCCTAGCGACTTCTAGATAGACCCTAGTAACCACTCAGAACCACATAACAACCCCTAGAACTCCTAGTGGCCATTAGATAGACCCTAGTAACCACCCAGAACCTCTAGCAACCACCATGTACAACCTAGCAACAGCACCACTTAGCAACACCTATAACTCCTAGTAACAGCTAGATAGACCCTTGCAACCACTCAGAACCACCTAGCAACCCCTAGAACTCTTAGCAACCACTAGATAAACCCTAGCAACCACTCAGAACCACCTAGCAACCACCTAGATCGTCCTAACAATCCCCAGAATGCCCAGGCAACCTCCATTTAGATCCTAGCAACCACCAGGTGGACCCTAGAAGCCACAAAGCACCACCCGGCAATCACACTGAAACCCCTAGCAACCACTCCAAACACCCTTGCATCACGGTAGTAAAAACTTTTGTTAAGAAGAAGTAAAAACCTGTTTTTCCTCTTGTGGTTTGCATGATACATCACAGCTAATAACGCTGAGGGTAACATCACACAATGTCCTGGCTCTTTTTATAGGCACATAGCTGAAAGAAAACAGTCTGAGATTGCTTGCAGCAGCAATGTTGGGAGTACAGGCGAGCGGGCTAATGTTCAGTCAGGACGCATAAACCACAGGCTACTGCTCACACACATGACACTGCAGATTAATGGTCAAATCGCTCCCGGCTCTTTGTAAAACCATTAGTGTGTGTTCTGGTGTTTTTATGGTTGTATATGTGTACGCATGCCTTCATTAAGACTATATGTGAGCGTCGATACGGCCGGTGCCTGTCTTAACAGGCCTGTGGTTTTCTATCTTCTACTTTAATTTGCTCCCCCTGATTCTGCTCAATGTCCTTTATGTTTAAAGAGCACCTGGCCCCGTTCCAAACCCATAAAGACGGGAAACCGCCTTCGCAGGCCAAATCTGAAACTTCCCAGTTGGCTCAGTCTTCACCAATGGCTCCGCCGTGTGTCCTTTAACACTAAATGCCGTTTTGCATAATGAGGATGACTAGGATCGATTTCCACTGATTGAGGCCGTTCTTATCATGCATTAGTTCTAGAATAGCGAATTGCCTGAAATTATCTACAGGCCATCTTCAGGCCAAGGTACGTTTTAGATGTCCTGCGTATGCCGAGGCCACACAAGAAATAAGGAACACATCTTGTTTTTGGAGTTCTGTTTGTCCTCTGTTGCTGGACTGCGATAAGCAAATGCGCTGTTGAC